AAAAGACAAGGTCTTTGTCTTTAGGGAATTCACACCCAAGTGTTTAGGGCTAGAGGGCATAATCTCCATTACTCTCAAGTGATTCAGATCAAAACCAATATGCAAACGTTTTAGATACAGAGATAACAAAGAAGCAAATTGGGCAAAACAGAAACGAAGTGGTAATCTAGATAAATCTGAAATTATGTCAAAAGAAAATTTGCAAACACACAAGGAAATCTGTACATACAATAAATTTTCTATTTTCCTGGTTTCCACATTTTTCAATGAATATATATTTTTATAATGAAAAATTGATAAATGCACACCATTTAAAAAAAAAAAGAATATCTGGGGGTGCCTGGTTGGCTCAGTCGATAAAGCATGAGACTCTTGGTCTTGGGGTTGTAAGTTCAAACCCCATGTTGGTTGTAGAGTCCACATTAAAAAATTTTTTAATAAATAAATAAAAATAAGAAAAAGAATATCTGTTAGTGATGTTGACTCTTTTAAGTGTAACTGGAAAGTTTTCCAAATCTTTTATCAAAAAATGTCAAAATGTGTGTATTAAAATTCATAGATAAAATTTTCATATAATTTTTTCATGGTCAGCACTTATTCAATGTTATGGAGTTTTTTTTTTCCCCATTTCAGTCAGTCTTCACCTTATTTCTTTTTATAAAGTATTTAATATGTTCTACCTCCTGCTAAGCATATACTTATTTAACTCTGTGATTAAAAATGACTGGTACCTATTTTCTCAAAATTCTCTTTGGGGGTCCGCAAGCAAAATTGTGTGCACCCCACTGAAATAGGGCATGGGTTTGATTCTGACCATTGGAAGGGGCAGTCAGCACTGGGGAGGCCCCTGGGAGAGCTTTGGCAAATAGAAATCCAAGCCAGCTCCCCATCATTTTAGGAATGGCAGGATCAAGCCTCCAGGTAGGGTCCTGGTGCCAAACACTAGTTCCCGGATGGAACTGGGACATAACCCGGCTTCCCAGAGGGGTCCTCCTGGGACCCTGGACAGGGATCCTGGAGGGCTCTTAGGAATAAGGCACAAGGTGAGGCCTGGACCTAACAGAGGACGAGCCGATGCCAAGTCCTCACGTACTGGTCCAGCTGGGTGTCCTAAGGCAGAAAGGAACCAGTTCCGTTGGGCCCATGTCAAGAACCTTAGACGCAAGGGCTGGCTGAGTGTTCCGGTGGGCACAGGGGGGCACAGGTGGGCCCTGGAGGATTCAAGAGGCTGAGAACTGGGCAGGGCCTGGCCGAAACAACCATCAGAGCAATCATAGCAGTTACGCTGCTGGTTGTACATAGAGCCCTCCAAAGTAGTAGTATGCCCATTTTAAAGAAGCAGAAACTGAGACTTGTGGAGGCCACCATGGAGCTGAATTTTGATTCTAAAACACTGAGACTCCTCCCAGCAAACCAAGCGGCTGTGAGTTCACAGTCCCACACCACTCCCCACCTGCCTTCCCCACCCCCATCACTCATCTCCTCATTCCTGCTAAATACATTTTGGACCCAGCTTGTACACCCAAGTGCATGATTTATTCCTGAGTCGCAGAGGTGCCTTTGACATCAGATGCCAGCTGAGGTGGTATCTCAGCTCTGGAGCGGTGTGTGTTGAGAAGCAAGAGAAGATGCTTGAGAAGCCTTCCCGGGCAGCGTGGGGCAGCTCTTGGACTGGGCAGGAGCCACAGAGCAGGCAGGGGGAATGAGAGATCCCGAAATCTACTCTCCAGCATTGCTCAGGATGAAGGGTCTCAGGTTGGGTGCTCTCTGGCTCTGCATCTTCTACTGCAGCCTGGTCCCCCACCCTCAGGGGGCTTCCTGCTCCCCAAAAGCAACTTACAGACTTCTCCCTCTAGATCCTTAAGCAAGACACAGCCCTATCAACAGGCTCCAATGGTGCAATAGAGGGACAGTGGTCCCGCCACTCGCTTCAGATGACCCTGGACTATTTGCCTTATCTCTAAACCAGTGGTTCTCCAAGGGGACCCTGGGGCCAGTATGTCACCCGGGAACTTGTTAGAAATGCAAATTATCGGGCCCTACTCTTGACCTACAATCAGAAGCTCAAGAGGGGGGCCCAGATCAGTGTCGTAATTTATTTATTTATTTTTTAATTTATTTTTTGACAGAGAGAGAGAGAGAGTGCACAAGTAGGTAGAGAAGCAAGCTCCCTGGTGAGCAGAGAGCCAGATGAGGGATCCCAGAACCCGGGATCACGACCCAAGCCGAAGGCAGACGCTCAAGCGACTGAGCCACTCAGGCGCCCCAGTGTCATAATTAAAAAAAAAAATTTTTTTTAAAGAAGCTCTATGCCCACTGTAGGACTTGAACTCAGGACCCTGAGATCAAGAGTCTCATGTTCCACCGAATGAACCGGCCAGGAGCCCCCCGGGGTCTTAATTCTAACCAGCCAGTCCTCCACACAAATTTGGTACATATTTGCTTTGGAAACCATTTAGGGAACCTGTTTCCTTAATATACAAAATGGGTTTTACCAGTGTTCTTACCCCAAGGATTATTTTGAAGATTCAGTGAGATAGTGTTAGAGTTACCAGTGAACAGGATAGATGTCACTATTACCTTACCAGTCACTGTTTTGGGGGCCCAAACTATTTCAAAGAATGGAGGAATCTTCTGGCATGTACTCTACTTGTTTCCTTCTTCCCCTCATTTGGGCTGGTCTCAGGCTTCCAAACCCATTACACTTTACCGAATCGTCTTTAGCTTAACTTTGAGTCACTCAGATGCACCCCGGCTCCTACCCTTATGCCCAAGACCAGCATCACCTCTCTCTCCTCTGCTGTTTGCATTCCTGAGGAAGGTCCCTCCACTAGGTTTCCCCAGCCACCCTCCCATTACTTGAACCAACAGCATCTGGACCATGTCCATAGATTCCCTTGGTCCTGACGCTCTCCCCCTCCCCAGGATGGTCTCCAACAGGATGCAACTCCCTATTCCCTCCGCCTCCTCGATCCTCTACCAGAGAGGTCAAGTAATAAACCTTGTGGAATCTAGACTCATCCCTCGGCAGGTGCATGGCTGCAGGGATGGGGAGAAGGGCATATCCTTGAGTAACAACCCAGCCCCAAGCACCACTCCAAATTAGCTGATTTTAACCTGTTCTCTCCCACTCAGGCTTCATTTCATCCCTGTTTCCAAATGAAATGGTCTTTTATTCAATTTTTTTTTTTTTTTTTTTTTTACTTTAGAGTTGATTTGCATCTTTTCTCCATCTAACAGTCTGGACAGATGATACATGTATCATTCAGTCTATAAACAAACATTCCTGATAATGCAGTAATAATAAGCTACTAAAAGGTGGGGGAGGCAGTCTGATTATCTTCTCTCTCTTTCTTATCTTTACACTTCTAACCCCTTGACCCTAGGGTCCCTTTCCTCTCTTTAGGTCAGGTATCAACTCCTATCTTGTAGCCCCAGGATAAGACATTGTCCAGATCTTTAAGAAATGAGGAATCTCCCCACCCCAGACCCACAGAAGCCCACCTGCATTTAACCACACTGCAGTGTTTCACACACTGTTTGAGAAGTGAAGCCAGAGGACATGGTTTATTAAATAGCCCTGTGGACAAGTTCTCCTGCAACAGTGGCTTAATATGTAAATTTCCACAGGGCCTGATTTAAGGAGTTGGGGGTGGAGCCCAGGAATCTGAGCTTTTAAAGCAACCAACCCCTTGTGATTCTAATGACAAAATAGATTCAGAATCAGGGTCTGGGATGAGGATCTGAAAATAAGCAATTTTCATGCCAGTCAGGAGCTTTGGGGCATCTGCAGTTTCTTTCTGTTGAATGGTATTTGTGGCATCTGGGAAGAGGCAGAGGCCATGTCCCCATCTCCTCTTCTTAAAAATTTTCTCTTTGCGGCACCTGGGGTAAGTGTCTGCCTTCGGTTCAGGTTATGATCCGGAGCTCCTGGGATCAAGCACCCCACCATCGGGCTCCCTGCTCAGCGGGGAGCCTGCTTCTCCTTCTCCCTCTCCTTCTGCCGCTCCCCCTGCTTGTGCGCTCTCGTTCTCTGTCAAAAAAATATATAAAATCTTTAAAAAAATTTTTTCTTTTTAAGAAAATTCCAACAGTTCAGAAGGTAAGTAAAAAAACCACAAGTTTGCCTGTTGCTAACTAACACCCAGTACCTGAGATCAGGGCAAGATTGCTTAAACCAGTAAAGCGGGGATTATGGGGCCACATTCCAGGATTAAAAGAGATGAGAGTCTCTAAAGTGAACATAGGTTTGGTGACGGGAGAGTGCGGGGTGTCCCTGGACATTCCTGGGCTACAGCACCTCACTGGGCGCTGCCATCCGTCTGTTCGTCCATCCAGCACCACAGCACTGCATCCAAAGTGAGGAGAAGCAGATCTCCAACGGCCTTTTTTCTAAAACTGCCCGAACCAGGGAGTCCTCCAGACTACCCTCCCCCCCAGCTCTCTAGGCACCCCCCGCCCCAGAGCCCGCATGCAGGGGTCCTCCAGACAAGGGAACAATTTACCAGCCCCATCCGCCCCTGGCCCACCCAGATGAGGACGGCCACTTTAAAAAAAAAAAAAGACATCAAATTCAATATTTACAAGAATAATCCCAGGCTCAGTTCTAAAATTACTGGCTACAGAAGGAAGCGTTTACTTCTAACAGAAAAATAAATAAAATAAAATAAAATAGGCGTGTGCCTTACCCTTTAAAAAACCCAGAATCATAAGGTAAAATACTTGAAAAAAAAAATAAATTGCTCACTGCATGCTCCCCCTTCCCCTCCTATTGGGGCTCAGGGCTCTCCAGACGTCCCCCGGGCAGCCCTGCAGCTGTGGCCCTGTAACTTTAAACCTGGCCTGAGGTCATCGTTTTAGCGCTAGCCAAACAGAGGCAGAGGGCGGTCCTAGTGAACCCCGGACTGAGACCACCTTAGGACCAGCGGCTCCCCGCCCTCCTCGGGAGAGATAAATGCTGACTCCTCGCAAAGTTTCCTACTGCAAAGTTTGCTCCTCAGCCTCCGCGGGAGAAGGAAGCTTGGGGATCTCTCCTACGCTGGGGCTTTTTTGCTCCCTGAATTCCAGCCCCTGTTCTCCGGCTCCACTGGGCAAGGTCCTCTGGCTGCAGAGCCTTTTCATCTTCCCCCAGCACAGAAACCAGTTGCTAGGCCCCAAAGAAAACAAGCCAACCGAGAAGATGTGGAAGGTGCCAGTTCTGCTCTTGGTTTTGGGAAGCGCGTGGCTCTGGGACCCGGCAGAAGGAGGTAAGACCCAGCAGAATGGCCGCCTGCCACCACTGCTGGTGAGGACTAGCGAGCTCAGACTTGCTGGAATGCCTGGGCCTGGTATTTGAAGTTGCCCGGGAGAGCCGAGGGGAGCTGGGCGTGTGTGCGAGCCCGCGAGTCCGGAGGACCCGGAGAAAGAGAGACAGTGGCTTAGCTATTGTTGCGTCCCAAAGCAATGGCTGAGCAGGGTGGGAGGAGGAGCCCCCCCATCGGATCCACAGGCAGCAAAGGTGGGGAGCAGAAGGGGCCTCCCTCTGGGGCAGCCCACCTCCTGCAACCCTCTGCTCAGCTCATGAGAGAGAGGGTAGAAGGATGGAAGCAAGGAGTCTTCCACTGGCTGGACTGGGCTTTCCTATGGGGCTGTGTATCAGAGGAATGCAGATGGCCTCGGAAGAAGTTGGCCCCATATGGGGGGGGGGACATTCAGCAGTGCTGGGGTGGGGAGGACTCCCCTATGCAGCGACACCCTCAGCGCCCTATCAGTGGGATGGTCTGGAAGAGGCCTCCGTTATCCTCACTGGAGGCCTCCCTGCCCTTTTGCCCCTCTTGCCCCCTACCTCCCCTTCCCAATCTGCTTCCTTTTGCTGTCTGCTGTGCTGTGCTGTCAACATGTGATTTTTCTTGGCCTTTTATTTTTATCTGTTTCCCCAATAGAATATAAGCTCCCAAGAACAGAGCTCTGTCTTAGCCTTGATTCCCAGGGCCAAAAAAAAAAAAAAATCCGGCGCATAGTACTTGCTCACTAAATATGGATCGCAGGAACTGTAAGCCCAGCTGAAAGGGAAACTCCTGCATTTTCCAAATTGAGGATAGAGGTGGGTCGAGTACCAGAAAAATCCTCCTTGGAGGGAGTGATTTGCGGGAGGGGTAGACCTGACCCAGGCATTTATAATTCCATATGCAGACAATAATATCCAGCCCTGGGGAAAATATACAGGGTGTACGAGTCTCTGCCCGGCTGTGGGCTTCAGAGGGACTTGAGCAACTATCTTTACAGGGCCATGGGCTATTCGTGGCAGTCCTATCTTTGGAACTTCTCTTTCCACTGGAATCCACACAGCTCTGCACTTCACTTACATTTCCCTTTTGGTGAGACAGTATGCAGATGACACCATTCTGTGCTGCCCAGGGCAAGGTGTGGGAGACCCCAAACGGAGCCACATCCCAGTTCAGCTAAGGAAAGGCAGAAGCAGCTGGGCAGCATCCTCTGTTTCCTCCTCAGAAAGGGTTGGCTGTAATTACCTTTAAGCCAAAGTTTTTGAAAGTCAGAGGTACCTTAAACCGAGTGGTTGGCGGGAGGGCTGAAACTGACTTAAGCATCTATAAATCCGGTCTGGGAAAAAAAAAAAATCACCAGCCACTAGTTGGTACTAGAAACTGCCCTGCTAAAGAGAGAACCAGCCCCCCCTTCCCCAGCCCACCTTCCCAGACTGTGTGGGGGGCTGGCTGCGTGTGGATGCTGAGTTGTGGGGCTGCCGGCAAGCAGCTGAGGCCCAGGAAGGGTTTTGTCTGAGGGTAATGACTGAAGCGCAGGGAATATGGATGAATAACTTCATTGAGCTGAGCTATTGTGGCCTCTGAGGCTGGGGGTAATTATGGTGATGAATTTTATTATCCTTCTCACAGGATTCTGCTCCCCACTGGCTTTCCCTCATCTAGTGTATAATCTGGTTCAGTTTTGTAATCTGGTCCCGTGTGTCGTCTCTTTGGAACTGAGTGGATTCAAAGGGGCTCTGTTGTCCGCACATCTGGCATTTTCCTCAGTTGTCAGGCCCCGCCCTCGCTCTGAACTTCCATCCAAAACACAGACTTCGGGGCCTGTCCGCTAGTTGGTTTGTTTTGTAAAATTCTTCATGGGGTCGCTTGCTGCAAACCCGCATGTGATTTTCCGGGACCAGTCCACCCAGGATTAATCATGCGGTGAACAAATTTCCCTGTGATTTCCCCGAAACTCTTGGCAGTCAGTTTCGGAGGCCCTGAGGTTCTCAGGAGTTGCTAAGAGTTTTTGTTGCACCGAGCATTTGATAAACACCAGGTCCGTTAAGAGTCTTTGTGAGGGAGGTCTATCCATTACACTGGTGTATGAGATCCAAAATAGCATTTAACGGAGAAAAAGCACATTTTTAAGAAGTATCCAAGTGTGAGAAGGTGAAGTCGGGACATGGTGAATAAGGCAGAACACTGACTGAGCAGAGGGATGCAGCCCCTTCTCTTTCTCTGGCCTCTGACATGCGTGGTCCATGAATCACTCTAGACCAGAGAATTATAAAGACCCCAAACCTTGGCATGACGGTGAGTGGTCTGGCCAAGTAGGGAGGACACCCCTTGCTCCCATTTCCATCCCCACCACGTGCTATGAAGTCACAGTTCCCTCATTTAATCATTACAGCTCCTTAAATTATACATCATCTTCAGAATATGCCAGAACTGGGATTCAAAAAGTGGGTCTAACTAATTCCAAACCCCAAGCTCTTTTTAGTACATTACAAAGCCGCGTAAAAACTAAAGGTTGCACTTGAAATTAAAGGTCAGTGTCACTTTAAGCTCCTTACACATGAACCCCAAAATTTGGGGCGCCTGGGTGGCTCAATCAGTTGAGCGTCTGTCTTCAGCTCGGTTTGTGATCTCAGGTTCCTGGGTTTGAGCCCCGCGTCAGGCTCCCTGCTTGGCAAGGAGGCTGCTCTCCCTCTCCTCCCCGCTTGTTCTCTCTCTCTCTCTCTCTCTGTCTCTCTCTCCCTCAAATAAATGAATAAAGTCTTTAAAAATATATTTTAAAGGTATAAAAAGTCATTGTTATATACCTGCCATAATTTCCTATAAGAATGAAGATGTCACAGTACATTAAAATAGGATTCATTAATTCATTCCCCAAATGGCACCTCCTGAATGCTTGGTACAGAGCCAGGTGCTGGATTTGAGCTGTGTGCACTTTGGAGAGAGGCACGCCTAATTTACAAAGCATTCCCCAGAGTCTTCGCCAGCGGAGCAACGGACCTGTGCTTTAAATTCCATTGGCTTATCTGAATATTTGTCATATTTCTGGCTCTAAGAACAGGCATGCCAGGTTACAACTTGTGGAAACGGTTCAGGAGAGGACGTAGAGAGACAGAAGACTCAGATACCTAGCAGTACCCTGGTGGAACTCATGGGAGCAATCTCAGTAAGATCCTGCAAGGCTCTCCAAGGAAGCCATGCCATTCCTGCCCCCCTGAAACCCCTCAAGGAAATTATCCAGCAGGAGCGATTTGTTGGAAGAGAATCAAATGATTAGGGGGACGGGGTGGGGAGCACTTCCGTAGCCAAGTCAGCAGTTACGGAGGTAAGTCTTAGGATTCCCAGAGGGGTGGGCAAGAAATAAAGCAGCTCTGGATTGAAATTTTGAATCCTTTCCTTGTCGATTTCTTCAAACTTTTTGGGAAAGGAAAGAGATCAGGCATTTCTTCGAGGGCTATGAGATGGAGTCGGGTTAGGGAACAACGGGAGTTCTGCCAACTTCATCCAGGTGGGGAAAACAAGGCGGCTGCTTCTGTCCTTGCTGCACGCCAGAGCCCACCAGCCTTTGGGTCCCGGCCAGCCAGCCAGGCCAAGGCAAGCATTCCCTTGAGCTTCAAAGATAGGGGTGAGCGGGCTCTCCCTTCTTTTTGTCTAGCGAGTGCCTTTGCCTGGGGAACCGCTCAGAGGAGGTGGGTTTGTCCTTTGAGGGGAATCTCACTAAGTCTAGAGGGAAACCTACAGACCTGACCACCTCATTAGTTGTCCGAGGAGCTGCAAACTAAAATTGTTTAGGGCAATGCTCAATTTCATGCAGGGAGAAAAAACAAAGCAAAACAAAAATCAACAAACCTATCAAAGGATAATCACCTTTCCAGAGGAAGATGGGCTCTCTTCCACCTCTATCCAGGGGAGAGAGTTACCAGTGCCCCAGACAGTGGAGAGAGTATCTCTGCGCACATGGCGTCAGAATTGACATTGTTAATGTTTGCAGCATGCAGGGGGATGTCAGTTACATAGAATACAGATGAGAAGCAGGGAAGGGGTGCCAGAAGATAAGTAAACACATTATTGATGAGCATGCAGTATTTCCTGCAATTCATTACAATGTCTCCATCCGAAAGACTAAAACACAGCTGACATAAAAAGCTGTTATCCAATGAATAGTATCCTGCCAATGAATAGTATCCTGCCCGAGGAAGAAAAGTGTCAGTTTGCCTAGAATCTAGAAAGGGAGAGAAAAGGGATGAGAATTTGACGGCGGTAAACCTGCCCTGCCCAAGGAAGTCATTTATTTAGCAAGTACATTCTGAATGACTGCTTTGTGAGTCAGGCAAGGCACACGTTATCCCAGCTTACAGCTAGTATGCAGGATGTCCTATAGGGTGGCCTTGGGTGTTCTGATCTCAGTTACAGTGACTGTTCTATGATGAATCAGGGACCCCTATTCCATCACAGTCTGGAAATGTATTCCACCCAAGAGCCCCACCCTTTGCCTTTGTTGTATGTACACCAGGTATTTCACTCTTGAGAAGGGTGCATAGCAAATGTGTATAGCATTGGAAAACCGTCTCCCGATGTAAATAAACTATTTGGTTTCCTGGCCTCTTGTAGGTCTGGCTAATGTGAAACAGTATCATCTGAGCTGGATCACCCCATAATGAGATTAAATTTCTGACTCTATAAAGCTAAGGGAACTAGATTCTGCATGGGTGGTGTGAATAGTAGTAGCTATATAATAACATCTACTGGATGCTTAGCACATTTCAAGCACTTTACAAGCCCTAGTTCATTTAATCTGTGCAACAGACCTACAAGGTAGGAATTATTTGTATTTTATACATAGTGAAGAGGCTCAGAGAGGTTCAGTAACTTAAACACGCAGACGCAGGTAGTAAACAGCAATGGTGAGACTCCTGAATCCAGGCAGCCCAACCCCAGAGCCCACGCTCCTAACCACTCAGCACGACAGCCACCTCTGCGTGGGG